TCACTCTCATCTCAGCTACAAAACCCTACAAATTAACCAAGGTGATGACAAGGCCCCAAGGCCATGAAGCCATACAATGCCAAGCTCTGCGCATCTCATTATACATCACTATCGAACCCTTTATTCTCTCAGAATGCCATTTCAATCATTTCGAGTTCTCAACCAAAATGTGCCCGAAGCCGAAGCCAAAGGGTTGCTCAAGTGCTAGTGATTTGGGCACTTCCATTTCTCATTGTTAATTTGTCATCTTCGGTAGATATTTCTTGGTTCCAAGGCAACATTTTCACGATATTTCAGATACGTGCAATCATCCGCAAACAAAGTATGAATTAACCATGGTACCTTTTGTTCAATAATTTGTTAGCTTGTATAGCAAGTCAACATCCACCACAAATAAAAGCATATGCACCAGTACTATAAAGAAGCTTCGTACGGTATGAAGTGAAAGAAAAAGACTGAAAAAGCTAGCTTATCCCTCAACATAAAAAAGTTGGGTTGGTTAGACAAATATCAGAAAGAAAATATCTCTCACGGGAGAAACTCAAGATTCAAGAAATGATCAAAATACGATGCTCCTCACACAGAATAAGACCCACCATTAATCTATCCATTGGCGTCTTATCACCGATGACGATATGCAGCATTACCTACTTGACCCAGGGAAAAAAAAATTAACCGAAGAAAAGGTTTTAAAATGTTTGAAATGACCTTTCGACATGTTTGGTCGACACATTTGGAAGTTATAATATAACTGTGTACACTGCATATTTAATTAGTGTGATTAGCAAATGTGGGGTTAATCTTGGTTGCTAAAAACATATTAATAAGAAATTATGGCATCAATCTTAGCTCACAACCCTATAACCATTGACTTAAGGGATACAATTTGGTTTTGTTTCATGTCACAATGCCGTCATTGCTGTAATAATTTTATCCATCCGATCGACATATACTTATTTTCGTTTCTGCCGTTACAATATAAAATACGTATACATACAGTTTATGTATGTGATATGTATATATATTGCCTAAATACACAGGATATTTGGAGTGCAGATATGGTCACAACAGTCCACTGCTGTCATGGCAAATTAAAACAAAAATAAATAAAAATATCTGGCGACGAATGCAAGGTCTGAAAAATTATGTAGACAAGACTTTTGATGGGTCAAGAAAACTTTGATGGTATTCTATATCGATATATGTGTGATCTGTAAACTCCACGCATTATCTAGTGGTGATTCAGCTTTGAGTACTAAAAGTAGAATAGTTTTTTGTTGCCTAAATTAGACAACCCTTTAAATTTGTATGCTTTTTTCATCAATAATGCGTCAATAGTTGGATATTCCTTGCAGAATTGCAGCCTTGCAGGTACATATAAACCCTAGCTTCTGAATACACCTTTAATATTAATTAATTACTGTTTGCTAAACTTAATCATTAACAATAATGATCTCTCCTTTCTCATAAAAACTCGTATGGGGGCAAAGTTAACACGTGTGGCATACTGTGATTGGCCGGAGTAGCAAAATACTAGTGCTATTCTCGTTTCATGTAAATGTTTCTCCTCCTTATGAATACACCTTTAATTAATTAATTACTGTTTGCGAAACTTAATCATCAACAATAATGATCTCTCCTTTCTAGCAACTACACATATTTTTCTGGTAGGGTTATATGCTTTATATCATGTTCATATCAACATGTCTGTCTCTGTTTGAATATTTTTTTTCTTCTGTTTTAGTGCAAAATTACAGTAACAGCACCCCACTGCAAAACCATCAAACAGGACTTTATTATTTGCAACAGTCAGTTGGAGCCTAGAGAGTTGTGCTCCAAGTCTGATATCTCCTTCAAAATGATGACCTAGATGTACATGAATATCTGCCACAAATTTTGCCTACTGTGTTGAAGTTTGTTTGGTTGCATATGTAGAGATTGATAATGTGAAAGAGAATTCAAGATTTTTATGTACAGAAAAATTTCCTGATGTGGTAAAAAAGAAGAATGTGATCACCACGCGACTAGAACAATAATTGAAGTTACTTAAAACAGAAAAATAAGAGTGTGATCACCTCTCTCTCTCTCTCTCTCTCTCTGTGATATAATATCTATCCGTCACTGCTATATCTCTGTGTCTCTCTTGGCACTCCGGAGGCCCATCCTTGCCTGAGAAAATAATACCTTCATTGACGCAGGAACGAAGCAATTGTAAAACAATTTGCATGGAAAGGAATGAAAACTACATATATCTGTCAAGAAGCAAATCGCCACGCTGACCTGTAAGCTTGAATGAAATCAGGTATTGCTAAGATTTGAGGGTTACTTGCTTCTGAGCGGGCTAATTTGTACCGACGATTATCCAGGATAGTGTTATCTTGTCAGACTTGTATATCTAAAAAAGTAGTTATACTGCGACAAGTAAATCTAAATTATATATTATGGACAAAATCAACTTGAGCCGACAGATAATTTGGTAAAAGAGCATTCAGATATTTATTTATATTGTGAGATTCTATATCTATAAGAGGGTTTATATTGACAGCTAATTCTTTCTTGCGAGAGTGGAGAAATAGTGACTCCCAATAGAACGCAATTCCCTAGGCCGACGAAAGCGGGCTCACATCACACACACATATACACACACCTTTAAGAATCAAAAAGTAAGTCTATACAAACATATGCATCATGAGTAAGGAAGGAGTTGATGTTGGAGAATAATGCAAGCCCCACATTAGAAATGTCATTTTCTTCTACCGACACAATGACCACAGCTGATCGATACCCATGTTATATTCACATAACGCAGGACTTAGGAGCTTCCAAAACAACAGATACATCGTATTGCCTTCAGCAGGTTGCCATTTGGTGCTTAAAAGCTTTGCACCATTTTTTGAGTTGGTTCTTACGCTTTGGCTTCTTTTTAACTACTTTAATGGACGGTGCTTATTTTCGCAGGCATGCAAAATTTTTGCGGCCAAGCTTCTGTTGACCAAAATTAAAAATCAGGTACAAATAGCTTCTTCGCATTAAGGTTTTCTAGAAGTAGATTTTATTTAGAAAGTGCTTTTTTCAAAGTCTAAAGGCTTTGGGAGAGTAATTTTAGATGTTTTCTAGATGTTTCTACCCAAAAGTGACTATAGCTTATTCAAAGTCACTCTCAAAAGAGCCCTAAGACTTTATTCAACTTATTGACTTTCTTCATTGGGTTAGGTTACTTGGCACTCGTCCATCTTTTTGGTCCATTTCTATGAATTTTAAGTTTATGGTGAACTTAATAATCAGCCGTGAGAAAAAAAAAATGATAAGTTTAGATTGGCCACTTTTGGTTTATATTGGGTGTCACTCAATTAAATTTGGTTGTTTCTTTTGGTTCCCCAAGTTCATTGAACACGCACACAATCTTTCTAACTAATTTCTTTGTAAAAATAATTCATTTTTAATGCACATGGGGTGGCAAGCACCACAGTGGGAAAGTTGGCCAAACTCTCCCTCTTCCCCTCCACAAGTGTGCAACCGGACTCAATTTACGTAGGAGATAATCTTGAGACAACCCAATATAATACTCCCCCCTCACCTTCCCTAGCAAATAACAAAAAAAAAAAAAACACTTTGTAATGTCTTTGTAAAAATAATTAACTTTCTAGATTTGTACCACTAAAATACTTGTTTCATTCAAGTGACAGCCCATTAGAGATATAATTTTTTTTTTAGGTCAATTAGTGATATGGTGATTATAATTTAAATTACTTCTAGGTGGTTTTATTGAGTTTTTTTTTTTTTTTTGTTGGGTCTTGTGGGGTGGGCTTATTTTGTCTTGGGTCAAGAATCTGCTTGTAGTTGGGCTATGTTGTGGCTCAATAAGAAATATTACTGGCCCAATTATCATCTTCCTAGCTCATAATGGAGTCATTCTATAGTGAGGACTTTATATATGGCCCTTATGTGAGATCTTATCTTTTAACTATTGAATTAGACTAACCAATTTGATTCAACAGTTCCTTAAAGACCATATATAAGATCCTCGCTATAAATTTTGCACTCATAATATATCATGGACTTGACTCTAGCCCATTAGTTTTTACCGATAGTCTAATGCACTTGAATCTCACTTTTTTCCCACTATGAATTATTAAAGAATATTTTGGCCCAAAAAAAAAATATTAAAGAAAATTAATAAAAAAAGAGTTACGGTTATCTTGCTGTTATATTTCAAATCTTTTTATTAAAAAAAAAAAAAAGTTGATGAGTCGGCTTATTGTCTGAATTCCGAAAACAAACTTCTATGGTTTTTTTGCTGGTTTTGGAAATGAGGATATTGATAATGTTATGTTGGAATGGAGCAAAATCATGTTTGTAATGGAATAAAACCAAAAATAAGAAAGAATTAGGAGAGGAAATTGGTAAACTAACCAAGATTGGAAAAATTGTCATTGAACATAATTGGAATTTTCTTTTGGTTTTGAGATTTCTTAACATTAATGGCATTGCTTGATTATGAGGTCGTGGATAGAAATTGTTGATAGAGAGGCCAACCTTAATTGGTTTTAGCCTCTGCAAACAACCGTATTACGTAATTAAAATGAAGGTATGTTTTAGGAAGAAAATGAGAGTAAAATGTATTTTCAATTATTGATGGATGAATTAAGTTGCAAAGGTATTATTAGTTTTAATTTTTTAAATAAAAAAAGTATAATTAGCTAGAGTCTAGAGACTGTAGAGTGGCCATTTCTTTTTCTTTTTCTTTTTCTTCTTTTCTGGTAACATATAGAGTGGGCATTGTTGGTTCAGTAATAATAATGGTCGTCAAGTATTTTCTTGCTCGGCCGGGGCCCAAATGATTTTCCAATTATAACTTTTTTTAAATTTTTTTTGGAGAATTTTTTCGATTTAATAATAAAATACAGAAATTACACATGCTTCTTGTTCGTTCTACATATTTCTATGAGCTCATTGACAGCAAACAAGTACACATGCTTCTTGTTCGTTCTACATATTTCTATGAGCTCATTGACAGCAAACAAAGAGAGAGAGAGAGAGAGAGAGAGAGAGAGAGGGGAATCTAACCAATCTCTCTTTTGCTCTTCTCTTTTCAACTTTTCATTCTCCTCTGCTCCAGATTTGTTTGAGCAATGGCCGAGGAGCCTGCACCCACTCGCTGGTCCTTCCAGGTACTCATTACTTCTCTATCATTTTCTGTTTGATTTCTGAGAAAATGTTGGTGCTTGACAGAATCTATGAGTAGAGTAGCTGTAAGCTTTTTCTGAGCTTGAACTTGAAACTGAAGGAATCCAATTTCTATATTTGTTCTTGTTTTGGGTTGCTTCTGTTTGCTCGGCTACCAAACACAAGCTTAGTGTTCTTGAATATGTACTTTTACTCTTACGGTTACTTATATGCTAGAATTCAAGTAGATTTGGTTTAAATTTTGCTTGTTGAGGTAATTTAGTAGTTGCGATTCTTGATCTGATGGATAGGATTGAATCAAGAATTCGTGGGTTTATCTCAGCTAAAATTATGTGTATTTCTAGGATTTTAAATTGTTTTATGATGCCAAGTTTGGTAGAAAGAAAGTGGCAGAGCCGCAAAACGGGCAGTCCACTGATAAAGCTGTGAGTAATGGGAGTAGTTCGGGGGTGACTGCGAATGGGAATGGTCATGTTAAAAACACAGCTGACTTGGCCATCTACGAGCAATTTCAAAACCAGGTAGGTATTGCATTGTGTCTTATCATGTGCTCAATTGGTGTTGACATCATTGCATGGATTTTGTATAGTCAGATTGATTCGTACTTTGGTTTTGTCTGTTTGTTAGGATAGGAGCTCGGCACCTCACTCGAATGGAGTCTTATCTGATAGGCATGATCAGACACCGTATGGCTTCGCACCGTTTCTCATATTAATTTTATTGTATTAGTTTTTATTACCTTTTGGCTGCATGAGTTCTAGTTAAGAAATCTTAGAGTGAGTAACTAAACATAGTCTCATATCTACTCGACAGACTAAAAAATTTGGTACAAATAATATTTAGCAAAGTTCTACTAACTAGGTACTTAGAGGCTAAAATGTGGGTGGGAGTACTATAGTTTGTCAGGCGTTGAGGTCTGCTGTATGTGTTACTGCATTACTGTGTGGTGCCTAAATGTGTCCTTAATGCATCGTTAATTTAATATTCATGGTATCGCTTAAGTATGTGAAAGCATTAATACAAAAGATGAGCCTTATGTAGCCAAGTCCCCCATATTCTATTTTAAGGGGCTAAGCGTGACTAAACTTCATCCTTTAATATTTTCACATTTGTCATGTTATTGGCTATTTATTCCTTTAAGATATTCACTTAAGGAAAGATGCACAAGGTAAAATGCTTATTCAGAGTCTGACAAAGGAAGAGATCTGATTTTAGCATGGACAACTTATAAGGCTTCCAATATGCTTAGAAGTACAATTCAAGTGTTGGACTTAAGAAGTTTCTGATGATAACAGTTGAATTTATTTAGACTATTGGACGAATTCTTTCAAGGGCTGTATACTAAACTGATTACTAAGTACTTATGATACTTCCCATCTTATTTTCCTCTTGATGGAAGAATGCTTTTGGATGCCTCCTTTAAGAACCTACTGACATGTTTTATGAACTCCACAGACAGAAGTCTCTGTTGCCGGCTTTTGAATCAACAGAAATGCGTTCGTTAGCAGAAAGTTTAGCCAGGTATTTTTAACATAAAAGACTTCACACAATGGAATACATGTAACTGTTATTGCATACATTTTGTCCGGTGGCCAAGGATAATTTCGGTTGTACCCTGAAAACTTCGTCACTTTTATTACCATGTATCGCATCTTGTGCAGGGATATAGTTCGTGGTAATCCAGATGTTAAGTGGGAAAGCATCAAGGGCTTAGAGAATGCAAAACGTTTGCTTAAAGAAGCAGTGGTCATGCCAATTAAATATCCCAAGTAGGTCCAGTTAATGAGCACCTCATGTGCCACAATTTTGTACTCCACATTTATACATGCTTGTTCTTACATTTGTCTGTCTCCCTGTATTTTCCGTATTGAAAAAGTTTAACAAACTACTTGTGGAATTATAAATAGAGAAAGTGTTGTTCCTTGGTTTCTCTATTCTAGAACTTGAGATCTTTGGAAATAATTTCTTGGGTTTCTTCATGTTGATCCATATATGCAAGAATTTTTTCATATTGTTTCTGGCAGCTACTTTACATGTTTTGATAAATTTTAGGGCAAGCAGATTGAATTACTAAATGGTGAAGCCTTTAAAATGATGAAATATCATTCCCAGACCTGATCTTTCCTTTTCCCCCTAGGTACTTTACTGGTCTTTTGTCACCGTGGAAAGGTATTCTCCTCTTTGGCCCTCCAGGGACAGGAAAGGTTTGTAATTTTTCACCTCCTGTTGTTTGTTTATCTTCTCTTTTCTATATTTCCCTGCTTTGGTTATGTGTTTGGTTTTCCATTTCCGTGCCCCAGAAAGGTTGGGGGGTTTTAGGTAGTTGATGTTTTATTGATTAAAATCTGATTTCCTGCAACTTGGAGTTCTTAGCTTGTCTAGAAACATTACATGCTAAATTGGTCTTCCATGCAATGATCCTGTATAACTTCAATTACGTTTTACAATGATACTTTGGAAATAAAATAAGTTAACATCTGATGTTGCAGACAATGCTTGCAAAGGCCGTTGCAACAGAGTGCAAGACCACATTTTTCAACATTTCAGCCTCGTCTGTTGTCAGTAAATGGCGTGGTATGTCGGAGTTGAGCAATTTTCTGAAGATCTTGTTTGTCTGTTTGTTTGTTTGTTATAAAATGGTTACTCAATAGGGAAAGTTTAGCAGGGTCCAAATTTGCCACCTTGTTGGAAACTCAGATGAAACTTAATAATAATGACCTAATTGTGCACCGGAAATTTTTCTTCTTCTTCGTATCCGTTCTTCATTATTTTAATTAAAACAACTCCTGGTACCTGAGTCGAAACTTTTTTTTAATTAGGAAAGTTTTATTTTATTTTAGTAAATTTATGCTGGCTTTTTCAATTTTAATGTTTGTATGACTTTTCAGGCGACTCAGAGAAGTTAGTGAAGGTGTTATTTGAGCTTGCTAGGCACCATGCACCATCAACCATATTTATTGATGAAATTGATGCAATTATTAGTCAACGTGGTGAAGGACGAAGTGAGCATGAAGCGAGTAGGCGTTTGAAGACGGAACTACTCATACAGGTGATGTTGTTTTCTGCTACTTTCTGTATTTTCTTGCTCATCATATGTTCCGATCATCAAAACCTCTGTTGCATATTCCAATTCTGAACATGTCAACTGTGCTTGTTCAAAAATTGATGACTTGTGTTAGATTGCAGATGGATGGCTTGACGAGGACAAGTGAACTTGTTTTTGTTTTGGCTGCAACAAACCTTCCTTGGGAACTGGATGCAGCCATGCTTCGGCGTCTTGAGAAGCGAGTATCCTTTTGAAAAGTGAAATTTATGCTCAGTGATATGTGGTAATAAAACAATTATATCTGTCAATTGGAATTTACGCTAATCGAATGCTTTTGGCATGTATTCTAAATCAACTATATGGAAGCCTTGGAAGTCATAATTGCTGGCATATTATATAATACAAGTTGTGGCTACTTCAAAGGCCTTTATGCCTGTGAATGGATTATGATTACAATCCAATCTGTTACTTGATTGAGAAACATAGTTTGCAATCGTTAACAGAGCACTAGTTAGTTGAGTGCAGTGCTTATGGTTATAGTTTCGCAAACAGATTGCTATGTTCAGTGTTTTGCATAGGATGCCAGGATAATCTTGATGTCTAAATAGATGTAGGATCATTATGTGGTTAGTTAGAAAACTTGATATTGGCCCTAGAACAGGGAAAGGTTAAACTACTCTCATCTGTTGGGCCTTGTTTATCTTCTAGCTAGGTATCAAAATATGAGGCAGCTTTTTACATGATCAAGTATATTTTGCATTCAGTCGTTTTATTTATCAGGTTCTCCATTGACCATGAAAAATTAGATTCTTGTGCCTCTGCCTGAAGCAGAAGCAAGAAGATCCATGTTTGAGGAGCTCCTGCCACTGGAGCCTGATGAGGAGAAGCTTCCTTATGATTTGTTGGTTGAAAGGACAGAAGGATATTCAGGTTCAGATATTCGATTGGTATGCAAGGAGGCTGCCATGCAGCCTTTGAGACGGTTAATGTCATTCCTTGAAGACAGAGAGGAAATAGTTCCTGAGGATGGTATGTGACTCCTAATTATACGTGTCTTATAACATAAGATGGGAGAAGACTTTTACAATATTAAATTTTACTGCATCTCACGAACGGGAAAATGTTACAAGGTGAGAAACATATAGGTTCATCTAGGGCTCTGAGGCTTTGCTTAGGTGGTAAATACACGAGCGAGATAACCTCCATCTTGTGTTGGGGTCTTAGCAAGGATATCCATCCCATTCTATTATTCAATCAACTCAGTTGTTGCTCCCTGTGTTCAACAAAAATTGCATGCATATAAGTTGATATAAATTCTAATATTTGTCTCTTAAATCCTGCAATTTGTGCAAAGGGTCCTTTGCTTAGAATATAAGAGGACATACTCAGTCACAGCTAATCCCAGGATATTTATGGTTGCAGAACTGCCTAAGGTTGGACCAATTAAACACGAAGATATTGAGGCAGCTTTGAAGAACACAAGGCCATCTGCTCATCTCCAAGCTCATCGTTATGAGAAGTTCAATGCGGATTACGGTAGTCAAATACTCCAATGATGGCACATAACCTGTCTTGTCTTGTATGGTTAGATTTGTTAGTTCTGGACTTCGCTTAGATTACCATTGCCTATTGGACATCCAAGGGTTGTTCTGAGAAGTGTAATTTGTGTGAAACCGAATAAAAAGTTGGCTGTTTTCAGATGAAAATAGGTTGATTTGTTTTGTATTTAAACGATTCAGATTTGATGTATGAAGAGAACAGGTTAGCCAGGACTGGCTTTATCTCTCTCTCTCTCCCTCTCTCTCTCGTTTGTGCTCCCTCAATTTTTTTATATTTATTTAGTTGATTTCATTTCATTCAGAATTTCAATGAAATTAACAAACACAATTTCAATAATGACATATATTCTTATTTTGTATTTTTAAGGTAATAATTCCACGTTATTCAGCTCTTCCTCATTTGCAATTGCACCAATTATTAGTATTCAACCAACAAGTCCAGTGCAGAATTCAATTGCTTGAGATAGAGGTCTTGAACGAGAAGATGATGCAACAAAAACACTAAACGACGTCGTCTTTGGGCTTATTGAGTTCAATTGAGAGAGGTTTTAAACGAGATGATGTAAAAATAATAAACGTCGTCGTCTTGGGCTTTCAATAAGCGATCCATAAAAATATAAGAAGAAAGAAAAAAAGAATCACTATAAAGTAAAAACCTTTCAGAACCCTACTCCCCTCCTCGACGCAGCCGCCGTTACCATCTCCTCCTTCCCTCTCACTCTTCCATTGAAGAAGGCTGTGATTGTGAGACTCTCTCTACCGAAGGTGAATGTTCACTCTTCTCTAAATACTCAATCTTCAAAAGTCTTGTTTCCTATCTCTGTTTGCATTTTCATTTATTTTTTGTTGAACGTTTTATTCTCTGCGACTTTCAATCTCTGTTTGCGTTTTTGGCTGGATGATTTACTCAACACAACCTATTATATGTTGTTTTTAGACCTTAAATATAAGATAAGAAAAGGGTTCTGATCGCTTTCATGGCTATATGGGTCAGAGAGATTTATGCAGAACAGATAAAAAGTTGTAACTTTTGGTTTTGTTTGTGTTCATGTACTTCACAACAAAAAATTGTGAGACTTCCTATCAAATATTGAGACTTTGGAAATATTGTTTATTATGGTTGGTAGCAATGCCCTGTTTGCTCTGTTTTTTGGGAAAATAACATGAAATTGTGATACCCAATTGAGTTCTTTGCTCTGTTTTTTGTATTTTGTAACTTGTGTTCCATTGATAATCGTAATGCTTGCTGAAATTGTCTGGTCTCTTTATTCCCAAGTCTGGCATGGCTTGACATTGTTGCTTTCCATTTTACCATCCTCGTGCCGGCCGGTGGGTACTAGTAGGGTGTTCTCTATCTAATTTTACTTTCACTTTTGCTTGAAGAATGGACTCCACTGTGAAGCATGCTGTGGTTGTGAAAGTTATGGGTCGGACTGGATCTCGTGGGCAGGTGACTCAAGTAAGAGTCAAATTTTTGGATGACCAGAATCGGTTCATCATGAGGAACGTGAAGGGACCAGTGAGGGAGGGGGATATCCTTACCTTGCTCGAGTCTGAGAGGGAAGCTAGAAGGTTGCGTTGATCGGAGATGGTCTCGTTTGTTGATGCTTGAACTTCAAAGTTTTGGTTACTTGCAAGCAACTGTTAATTACTTTTTAAGTTTATTAGTAGCATCGTAGACTTGATTGTTGTGATGAGATTTCTTTGTGGAATCTTTCGGAACTTCTATGTAGGTTTTGTTTGAACAGTAACAAATATTCCTGCTTGCTGTGTCAAACCTTTGCTCTCCTTCTTGCCTGAGCTCTTGGGTATTGATCAACAAAGACTTTTGTCTCAACGTGCAAAACTGGTGCATAAATATGGCTTATTGCTGCTGCATCAAAGTTGAAATTTAGTACTTAATAAATCCTTTCCCAAATCTTGTTGATGTAAAGGAGCGCTGATAATCACATCTTTTTGTCCTGACGACTAAAAATTTGAAGCAATTCAATCAACGAAGAAGAGGCCGAAATTTTGATAGAACTCACATATAAAGATGTACCATAAACGCAATAACTAGTTTTGGGATATTGGCCGGGAAGCACTCAGAAAATACACAACACTTACTTTGACCCATCCTTGGTTATAGATATGGAACAAGGACTTTGGCCCTTGTTTGCATTCTCATCTAGCTAATGTATCGAAGCATGATGCAGTTTTTTACATGATCAAGTATATTGAGCGGCTTGTAGCTCGGGTCCTAGGATTTAGTTCAGTTCATGATAGTCCGCCGTACCAAAAGACCCCTATATGTTAATATTTCAGCTTCACTTGCTGCTTAAAACGCAAAATTTACACAACAATAATTAACATATAAATTAAAATATATTATGCGAAGGAGACTGGATTGACCATCCCTATCGAACTGACAGAATATATAGAGACATAAATTTCTGAAGACTTAGACAGATGCCCAATTAATTGTCCTTTATATTTTTCTTTTCTTACAAGTCGGAGTCGTTGCATAGACGACTCGGAGTCGTGCGGATGAGACAAGGATGCAGTTGCATTGGTCAATTGTGAATTGGCCGTACCAAACGACCCCTATATGTTAATATTTCAGCTACACTTGATGCTTAAAATGCAAAATTTACACAACAATAATTAACATATAAATTAAAATATATTATGCGAAGGAGACTGGATTGACCATCCCTATCGAAATGATGGAATATATAGAGACATAAATTTCTGAAGACTTAGACAGATGCCCAATTATTTGTCCATTATATTTTTCTTTTCTTACAAGTCTAAGTCGTTGCATAGACGACTCGGAGTCATGCGGATGAGACAAGGATGCAGTTGCATTGGTCAATTGTGAATTTCGTCATGTCTGATGTGCCGCACTCTTTGACAACTTGTTCTGCCTTCATATATTAAATTGGCCCTGCAACAAATATTCAGTGTGTAAAAGCAAAAACACTTGGATGAAGTTGGAAGGAACTTGTCTGTTTTCGGTGCTCATCTCATGGAGAAGTCTAAGTCGTTTCCTCTTGTCAATGACGTTGTTGCTGGTGCTGCTGCGGTACACTTCTGTAGGTGCGGCACCACAAACCAACATCACCACGGACCAGTCTGCTCTTCTTGCTCTGAAATCCCATATCAGTAGTGACCCATACAACATCTTGGTCAACTGGTCAACCATCACCCCAGTTTGTAATTGGGTTGGCGTTACTTGTGGTGCTCGCCACTTGAGAGTTTCAGTCTTAAACCTCTCTTATATGGGACTCACCGGCATCATTCCACCGCACCTCGGCAACCTCTCATTTCTTATTGAGCTGCTTTTCAGAAACAACAGTTTCCATGGCACCTTGCCCCATGAATTGTCTCATTTACATCGCCTCAAGTTTATTAGCTTCGCATTCAACAATTTTATGGGATCGATTCCATTGTGGTTTGGGTCCTTCCCTAAACTTCAAAGCTTGATTTTGTGGGGCAATCAATTTTCAGGTTCTATACCCACGACCATCTTCAACTTATCTACATTGCAAGTGATTGATCTAGACAACAACCAACTATCAGGTACGCATGCATATGTATCAACAACCTATCTACGAATAAATATAATATGATTACGTTTTAGCATATTTCTATTAATTTATAATATAAGCTAAACTATCCTTGTTTCTTCTTTTTTCAATAGAAACTTAAGCTTGTCCTATTAAACTTGATTTTCTTGCTTACAGCCCATCATATAGCAAAAAAACCTCTCTTGAATAGATTATGTCTTTAATTTTTAATTTTGAGTTTAGTTAGTCTTTTTCTACTATATTTGAAAGTTTGTATAAAAATTAAACTTATTTATAATTTCGACCCCTATTCTTTACCTCGAATTTCAAATTCTCCCATAAATATGCAGTTAGGTCAATGTTCATTTCGTCACCCTAATTTCGTGTCCCATGTTCCTATTTTTTAAAATCAGAGTCCCACATTCTTTATTGCATCAATTTTCTTAGTAAAATTGTTAACTTGTTGACGTGACATGTGCATTTTAGTAATTTTAGTAATTAAAAAAATTAAAATTAAAATTAAACAAAACATATATATTAATTAAATTTATTTTTTGAAAAACTGCATTTGCTTAAAATTAAATTTATTTAAAATTTTTAATTAAAAAATGTTTAAATATTTGAAGCCGCAGCCACAGCTGCCACCCCGCAAGCAACCATTGCCTTCTGCACCCAATCGCACCTCGCATCCATTCTCCCCAAGCCAGCCAACCTCCTCCCCACCCTATAGCCGTGACCCCACAACCACAAAATAATTTTGATGATTGTATTTGTTGGGATATTCACTATCTTTCGGCACCTGCTGTTTCATTCCAGCTTTGGTGCTTTTTATTTTCCTTCACTTCTCTCTCTAGCCACCTTCCCTAAGCATAAAAACTACATTGATGAAATGAAACTAGAGACAACATTTGGGCTATAAATAATTAAAACTCATTGAGTGTCGGATATGGACATAGATTGTAAATAATGAGTAATACATGGCCAAAAATTAATCCTACATGGGATTCGCTCGATTTTTTTTTGGGCTGCAGTTGTAGTAAGTACATGAATTTGTGTCTACACTATTTGATTTGCAAGAAATTAGTTTAGATTATTTTAAATGTTTTCTGAGACTTTGGCATGCATACCAGGAAATATACCAAGTAAAATTGGGAACTTAACAATGCTGGAGGAGATATACCTGAGCTACAACAAATTCACCGGTATATTGTTGCATTTCATTGTATGAATTAAATTAAATAGCCTAATTATATAGTTTGATATATATGTGCATATCTTGTTGATTTTTCAGAAATTCCAAACGAGATCGGATTTTTAGATCAGGTGGAGCATTTGTTCGTTCAGGTGAACGCCCTAAAAGGGCATGTTCCTGCCAGTGTCTTCAACATGTCCTCTTTGACTATTTAGACTCTATATGAAAACAGTTTGAGTGGTGGTCTTCCAGATAATATATGCCAGCATCTTCCTAATCTTCAGGAAGCTAATTTTGGCCGCAACCAGTTTGATGGTCCACTTCCATCCAAATTATGGCATTGCAAACATCTTCTTTCATTAGCATTGTCTAGAAACAATTTCAGTGGAAGCATACCCAAATATATTGGCAACTTAACCCAATTAACAACGATTTATCTGGAAGACAACAATTTGACAGGTAATTGATATTTCATTATGTTGTTCCAACTATATCTTTTTGTTTGGCATCATTTATCATTATTTAACTATTTTGTACAAGGTCAACAGATAAAAAAGAGAACGAAAACCCCTTCAGCCCTGTTCACTTCTCTTGGGCTACAAATTGTATAGAATAAAATAGATTGAATTGCATAATAAACGTTAACATTGTATAGAAGTCAATATTGTTTTCATCTAACCTAATGCGCTACAATGTTTTGAAATTGTGGCAGGCACTATACCAAACGAGATCGGTGATCTTCAGAATTTAGAGGTTTTATCAATCCAAATTAACAATCTAAATGGCCTCATCCCAGCCTCAATCTTCAATATCTCCACGATAACAGACCTCGCACTTGGTTTGAATATGCCTCCCAGCAAACATAGGCCTTGGGGTTCCAAACCTACAAAACCTGTTGTGCGGAAGCGTCAACCAATTTCGAGTGAAAAATTAACAACTGGCAGGAGATAAAATAATGAACACAAAACAACACTAACAAGAACACCAAGATTTATACTGGTTCGACAATGCCTACATCAAGTTTGGAGACGACGGAGTATTCCACTATAATCAATGAGAGAATACAATAGTGTTTAACACTCAGAAACCCAAGCCCCAAATATACCCAAGGTCACACACTCAAGAATATAAAGAGAATACAAATTGAGTACAATTTAGAGAAAGGGAAAAATAACCAACGACATCAACAATTTGTTTTGCTGCCCAACTCTTATTTTTCCTCTCTCAATTTTCTCTCTGCAAACTTCTGTCTCTCCTACTCTGGGCTGCTGCTGCTTCTCCTTTTAAAGCCAAAGGAAGTGGCTTCTCAAAGAAGCCAACGGCCAAATAATATATTCTACTTTTGGCCGAAAGCAACTTTGCTTTTGAGACAATAGTCAACAAAACCTTTATATAGCAGGAACTGACCTCAGCGGAGTAATCCCCAACCTCTCCAATGCTTCTATGCTCACGAACCTAGATTTGGGCAAAAACTCATTTACAGGGTTTATTCCAAGCACGCTCTGTGCCTTGACAAACCTTCAGACGCTTAGGTTATCAACGAATAATTTGGCGATTGATACTTCGACTCTCTCTTGTTTGGCTAATCTTGCAAATTTGACAACACTACAGTTGCAAAATAATCCCTTAAATGTCAGACTTGATGATTCCTTTCGGAATTGCTCTACATTGTCGCGGCTTCAATATATTTTTTTATCCAATTGCAGCATGAGGGGTAACATTCCCATTGGTATTAGCAACATTAGCGGCTTGGTAAGCTTATTCCTGGATGGCAATCAATTGAGTGGATCAATTCCAACTTCACTGGGAAGACTAGGGAATCTCCAAGGTTTGCGCTTGAGTAACAACAAATTGCAAGGGTACATCCCATATGAACTTTGTCAACTAGATAAGCTAGTTGTATTGCTTTTGGGTGGTAATCAGCTCTCTGGTTCTATACCTTCCTGTTTGGGTAATCTAGCCGCATCTCTAAGAACTCTATCACTGGAGTCCAATTCGTTGAGTTCCACAATACCATCAACTTTTTGGAATCTTGTTCATATCTTGCATGTCAACTTGTCATCCAATTCTCTAATTGGATCTCTCTCACAAGATATTGGAAACTTGAAAGTTGTGATAGATGTAGATTTATCAAATAACCATTTATCTGGTGTTATACCAAGCACCATTGGCGGTCTTCGGGAACTGGTTAGTCTATCCTTGGCAAGTAATAATTTGGAAGGACCTATTCCAAGTTCATTTCACAACTTGCTAAGCCTGGAACTCTTGGATTTATCCAGAAACAATCTGTCTGGAGTGATTCCCGAGTCTTTAGAAGCTTTGTCACTTCTCAAGTATCTGGATTTGTCTTTCAACAGGCTCCAAGGACAAATTCCAACTGGTGGCCCATTTCAAAACTTCTCTGCTCAATCATTTGTCTCAAACAGTGCACTATGTGGTGCACCCCGACTTCATGTTCCACCATGCAAAAAAGGTACACTCGAACCAAATTGGAGGAAAGCTAAATATATCGTCCCAGGGATCATGTCAGTAGTTCTCCTAGTGGCCTCCGTATCTATCTTTCTACTACGCAGGAAAAGGAATGTGGAAGTTACAATAGAGGCTAGCTCATTGCTTCAACCTCTTTGGAGAAGAGTTTCACGCCTAGAACTTCTAAGGGTAACGAATGGATTTCACGAAAGCAACTTACTTGGAAGTGGAAGTTTTGGATCAGTATATAAAGGGACACTTTCATATGGAATAGATGTTGCAGTAAAGGTTTTCAGTTTACAGCTAGAAGGGGCATTCAAGAGTTTTGATAGGGAATGTGAAATCCTAAGCAATATTCGTCATCGAAACCTTGTCAAAATCATCAGTTGTTGCAGTGAAATTGATTTCAAAGCTCTAGTACTGCAATACATGCCAAATGGGAGCCTCGAGAACTGGTTGTACTATCAAGACTATTCTTTGCATATCTTACAGAGGATGAACATAATGATAGACGTTGCGTCGGGATTGGAATACCTTCACCATGGTTATTCAATACCTATAGTCCATTGTGATTTGAAGCCGAGCAATATACTACTAGATGATGATATGGTTGAGCATGTTGCTGATTTTGGAATTGCAAAACTCTTGGATGGAGGAGATTCTATGACCCAAACCATGACCCTAGCCACAGTTGGGTATATGGCTCCAGGTGATGTAGTTGCTAGTTTAATATCTTTTAATCCTATACATGTTGTCCTTAATTATGAAGAACTTAACTTTATAATTTTCTTTTCATCATACATATGTATACAATTCACACACATATACAAGAACAACTCAAATATAGTTCATATTGCAGAGTATGGAATGGAAGGAATAGTTTCAAGAAGAGGGGATGTGTACAGTTTTGGAATTCTAGTGATGGAAACATTCACCAGAAGGAAGCCAACAGATGAGATGTTTGTTGAGGAAATGAATATAAAGCAATGGGTTGCGAACTCACTATTATTACCAGATGCAAAGATAGATGAAGTTGTGGATGCCAATTTGCTTGGGATTGGGACAGAGCAGGAAGATGATGATCACGTGAGAAAGAGGGATTGCTTATCATCCATTATGCAATTAGCTCTTGCTTGCTGTGCAGAATCACCATAAGAGAGGATGAGTATGAAAGAAGCTGTAGATACACTCAATAAAATCAAGATGAAGTTTTCCAGGGACGCCACAAGAAGTGTCGTGTTAAACCGTCCTCTTGCTCAGCGCTTCAATTAATGGATCCTATGACAATGACATATATTTCTTTCATGCACTTTGGTTGGATTCGATTCAATTTGAGTCTTAATTCATGCGGTTGTATAATTGTATTTGAATTTTAAAGACAATAATATATAGATGGAACAATTCATCATAAAGAAATTCAAAGCTTCTTACATACTTGGTATTGCAGGGTCTGTTTTGTTGTATTATGACATCCACACCACACGAGATGTATTATGATATCCACCACAAATATGATAATCCAATACCAAATACAACAACAAATGATGGATTAGAGAGGCTACTACGCGAAACAGAAAGCGTTCCCGCCTACCATCTAAGACTTTAGAAAAGCTATGTGCAATAGACTTCGATGAAAGTACAAAGAACCATCCAGCCACAAAAGGACTTCCTAGTCCATAAGCATGCCAGAAGCACAAAAACTACTCAAAACAACAATGTTCCAGCCCCAGATTGATTGAACCCCTTCAATGATGAATCAGCCGTTTCTCCCGAATTTTGCATCAGTCCATGCTTTGGCAATTGTTGCTTTCATGTCAGCATCCCCTTCGTTGTACATATTCTGCAAGTTGCATTGAATACAGCAGTAATTAAGCAATCAAATATATGTTTATTCAATGTGATTGCATTCACATTTTCAGATGTGGATGTGCATGCATATACATGTCAACCTCAAAGCTTGGTAACCTTACCTATGATTCCTGCCATGGGATCTCTCTCTTCATCCAGATTTGCCTGCAATATCAAACAATAAAACAAACTAATTCTACTTCTGCCCTTGCCAATGATATGATGAAGTACCTTGTCCTCCTTAAACTTCAAATCCAACCAGTAATCCTTTCAAGATTTAGCCAAATTGATAACAACCCTTTTAGGGTCAACTATCACCTTACACTTCTCTGGGACAATCTCCTTTTGCAGTTTAGGTATAGCCCATTTGTAATTCTTTCCTTGGAAATCATGGAATTGATGTCAAAGTACATAGGCTTAGTTTGGAAATATTGTGTATTATGGGTAGTAGTGCCTTGTTTTAAGAGAGCAAATAAACAAGAGAGAGATACATGTCGTAGCTTGTGGTTGGCTTAGTTTTGATGTTTAGGTTTGATTAACTGGTGTGCTATGGAATCCAAATGTCCTCTGTAGACCAATCTCATGTGCTGCTATATAATGCTGATATTTTTCAATGTTTCAGTTATTGGAAAATAACATGGAATTGTGATACCAATTGAGTTCTTTGCTCTGTTTTTTTTGTGTGTATATTATATAACTTGTGTTCGATTTATAATCTTAATGCCAAATCTTGTGTTCCTTCCCAAAGTCTTAAGATTATGAAATTGTCTGGTCTCTTGCTACATCAAAGTTGAAATTTAGTATTTAATCAATCCTTTCCCAAGTCTTGTTGATGTAAAGGAGCGCAGATGATCACAATCTTCTTGTCCTATTCAATCAACGAAGAAGAGGCCGAAATTTTGATAGAACTCACATATAAAAATATACCATAAACCCAATAACTAGTTTTGGGATAATGGACGGGAAGCACTCAGAAAATACACAACATTACTTTGACCCATCCACAAGTGTGATGAGACAGTTGTTATCAATTAAATACCTTTGGCCAAAAATCTTGTGCATTAACCCCTTTCTCACTGAGAATTTGGAAACTCTGTTTCAGTCACTCTGTGTCTCTCAATGGCTGTGGACAAAGACAAGCTTGAAGAAGACGCTTCCATTGCCCGCTTCTACAAGATTGTTCTTAGTTGGGACTTTTTCGTCCGCGAAAAATCAACAGTAGTTTCTCTGTCCTTCAACTATCTCATGTACATACATATATAATATAAAGATAAAGATAAATGTACTTATTTTTTCTTCTTCTTTCCTTTCTCTGTTTAGTTTTGAGAAAATTTTCTTCTCACTGGATGTTCTTTGTACATTTACTTGTGCAGTAGGAGACGCCACGGAAAGGTGTGTTGTGGAGTGCACTGAAGTTGATCTGTTTCACTTAGCAGTTCTTACCTCTGCGAATGACATGGATGACAAGAAATCAGTATCGCAAGAATGATATTTTGCTTCTTTCAAAACAAAGGTAATCAAATTCAACTGATTCTGTTTATTTCTATGTTGTCTGTGTTGCATTTATCTCATAGTGCTCTCAAGATGTACGGCACTTTTATGTTCAAAATATTAACTTTACAAGCAAAATATTAGTATTTTACATTAAATACATAGATTCATTCATGCGTAAGTGGAATACACGCGGCACAAAATGAATGGGGTAGGTAAAAAGAAAAAAAGTAAGAGGAAAGGTAGCTGGTACTTAGCAAGTGCGGAAAATTTTTGACTGAAAAATAATGTGTTTGTCTTTGGTTTTTGGGGAAAATAAAGGAAAAGTAAATCTTGGGAAATGACAGGTTTCAATAACCAAAAAAAATCACAAAAGAAGACTCATGTAAGAGGAATGACATAATTTATATATTATGTAGGGTTACTTACTGTTTTGATGGCATTTCTTATTGCAGTATGAAAAGGAAACTCCAAGTCCAACAATCTATGCTTTTGCGGTGGTAGAAAGTCGTCAACTAAGTGGTTTTTGGATTAGAATGTATCTGGAGAAGTTACAAATTCGAATCCATATGCAGTTAAATCACGTTTAAGGCTGTTAAACATGAAGTATTTGGTAACTTCTAGTAGTGAACGAGACAGGTTCTTTTACACTTATAAGGTAACACTTTTTTTTTAAGTAATGAGGTTAACTTTGTCATGCTCTTACATCATAAGCTCGTAAGTACATATCCAGAGCTTAAATCAAGTGATCAGTTGGCGATTATATCCCCATACAGAGAGCAAGTAGAACGCCTGAAACAACGTTTCAGAAGTACTTACGGTGTGGAGTTTGAGAAATTAGTGGAGAGTACTACTGTTGATGGTTGCCAGGTAGGGTGGCTAATTCTTCTCTTGGTTTTCGGGTGGGTTCTATTGGTTAATATACTAGATTGACATTTATTTTCTGTTTATAATTGGCTAATTCCGAGATCAATTTGGCTAATTCTTCTCATGGTTTTCGGGGTGATCAAAATATTTCTTTTATGCTTGGGCAGCTTCCGAGATCAATTTGTTCGGTGGAATGTAATCATGTAATATGCATCTATTTGTCCAGACGTAGAATATCTCATCTGGGTTGTTGAGATGCAGGATATCTCATTTGGATTCAATCCTCTTTCTATAGATAACGACGAAGCCCACTAGCAAGCATGATTATGTACAGGAGGCTGACAGAAGAATATATCATTTAAAACTTCATAAAAGATGACGACATTATTTCAATATCAATAATGTATAGATGACGACAAACACCCGCAGGAGCCGGCCCTTTTGCCCGAGTGGGTCCCTCGCCAATAAAAGACATACATAGGCTTGACTTGATGTCAGTTTCCACCCCTGCTCTGCATTATGAGACGCTTGGGTCATTCAGCTTGGACCAAGATAATTATAAAGTCAAGTGTGTGTTTATCGTAGGATAAGCTTTTGAGGTATTATTGTATCAAGTATTTGAACACATCAACACTAATAGAGAGAATTGGGCTTTTAGGATTTATTTATTTATGTATTAGTGTAATCCCAAGTTTAAATGTTAGGTCGAGTCACTGCTTTTATATACACATCTAAAATTATTCTCTCATCGAGATGTTACTCTTTATAGATATTAATTTGCTAGTTTCAACATATCCAAAGTAGATATTAATCGGCTATTATATAATATTTTAATATATATTTTTATAACATATATTATTCTTATTCACTAATATGTGACGATTATTTGTATAATACGTGAATTTTGTGTGTCTTACTGAAAATTTTGTAAGATTTCCTAGTCAAGCATTGATGAGCATTGATTAGATTCTCTCCACTTTTACGTGGGGCATTGGCGGTTCTTCTTCAAAACTAGCCTCAGGTTCTCTCTCTCTCTCTCTCTCTAACACTCCCATTAATCACTCTCTCTAGATTCTCTCCCCTTTTACGGGGGGCATTGGCGGTTCTTCTTCAAAACTAGCCTCAGGTTCTCTCTCTCTCTCTCTCTCTAACACTCCCATTAATCACTCTCTCGGTCTCTGCCTTTAATCCTCTCAGAAAGTTGGTAAGTATGTTCAACAACTTTTTAAACCCTATTCAATCAAAGCTTATGGATCTTCCAGTCTTGGTGTTGGATTTTTAAATTGCAAACTCTCCATGGAATTTGTTTTTAAATTTATATGTGGATTTTTGTGGCACAGGACTTGGATTGCTACTACCTGGTGTGCTTGCTGCTTGGTGTTGATTATGGATCAATCTGACTCGGAGTCCATGGTGGTGAGTTTTGATAACTAGGGCTTGTTCATGCTGTCTGCTTGATTGCTCTCTCTGTTTGATAACCATGAAAAGTAAACCAAAATTTCCAACCACAAAACCATCTACCGTCTATTTTAAAACCTAATTTCCCCCTGAACCAAAAAATATCCCCAATCTGCTATTTCTTCAACTCGCAGCAGAGTTTAGTGCATTAGTCAGGGGGTTGTGAAAATTTGATGCTACTCGGGTATCATTAAAAATAAGGAGAAAGGTGAGTTTGAAACTTTGATATCATTAAACCCAACAACTCTCTCACATCACAAGCACAGTAGAATAAATGTGATAAAACAAAGGGCTTGTTCAATATAGATCCCTACATTTTTTATTTCCTAGACATATACCCATCACTCTAAAAATCTATGTGTAAAACCCAATTTCAAATTTAAATGACCAGTAGGATATAAGAGGTCGTAGTATTCTTATATTTTTACATCGTTGCCACCAAACATCATATTTTATTTATAATTTATTTCAAGCATTTCATTCACTGTCATAATTGTAATTAACACTCCCTATTAATAGCATATCAATCACCCCATTTCTTTTGGTTGTCATTCCCTCTCACATACCGCCCCCTAAAATTGCAAACCAAAAAAAAAATCTGTAAATTACATATCCAATAATGTACCTATAAAAAATATAAATATAAATATATACGTATAAAATATAAATATATTATTTAAATAAAATATAGGTATATTATTTACCAAAAAAATTAATTAAAAAAAAACTAAGTCAGTTACTTTGTAATTGAAATTTCCTTACATTTTTCATAAATTAAAAATAGGTACACAATAATTTATAGAAAATATAGGTACATTATTTACCCATAGGTAAATTATTTTACAATATACCTATAAATGTGTATAGGTACATTATTTGGAGAGGAAAAATAGGTTCATTTAAAAAAAATATGTACATTGTTTTACTATGTATATTATTAGAGGAAAAAAATAGGTGCATTATTTGGAGAGAGAAAATAGGTTCATTTAAAAAAATTATTTTTCATAAAACAAATAATAGGTACTTTATTCAGAGAAAAAAGGGTACATAATTTAGAGAAAAAAAAATAGG